ACAGCTTCATCAAGCAGGGGCGAAGATTGGTGTAGAGGACGCGGCCGGTGTAGCATGCTCGACCGAGCACTTCGCTTGCACTTGACACGAGCAGCATCTCGTCGCCGTCATCCTGCAGCTTCACACCGCTCTCTCGCAATTGGCTGGTGGACAATAGGTTTGCCTGCATGCGTGGAACATAGAGCACATCGGGGATGAGGGCCTTCTTCCCGGCCTCCCCTTGCAGAGCGACAGTACCGCGGCCCTCAACGGTCTGCAAAGCCCCGTTGAAGCCACGCACATGCTTCACGTCGTCGCATGGCAACATGTCGACAAAGACCTCTTTCATCCCCATCAGATGATGTGAGCAACCACTGTCGAGCAGCACTACCATCGGGCTGGCTTGCATGGCGGTCATGACTGCCTTGAAGTCATCGTTAGCCTCCGGCGCCAGCGAGACTATCGACTCCACCACGCCGACCATCGAGCACAACGCCTCCCCGTTGTCTCAGCCCTTGCCGCTGAAGGAGTCGATGTCCTTTGTCGATGTCGTCTTCTTCGACGCCTGCAGCTCCTTGTGCGGCTTCTCATCTCGATGTGGGTGACGACTAGCCGACCGTCCGCGGCCTCCTTTGTGGTCGTCCACATCGTTGTCAACGCGGTCAGGACATTCGAAGGAGAGGTGGTCCGGGTTGCCGCAGACCGAGCATTCACGCCATTGACCACCACCCCTGCGACCTCTGTCCCGTGTAGACTTGGTCTAGTCGACATCCTTCGTCGACCTTCCACCTTTGCTACCACCTCCACTTGGCTTCCCTTGCTGCCCCTGTCGGCTGCTCTGCATCATTGGGACTGGGTCGTTTGCTTGCAAAAGGAGCTTCATGGGTCGCTCTGCCTCCTGCATCGCCTCATCCTTGATGATGTGGCTGGTGAGGGTGTCCTTGTCGAGCGACTCCCACATGCCGGGCATCGCCAACATCCGGCGCATGAGGTGTCCTCTTGACAACATGCGTGATGTCAACCGCCGTTGAGTAGTCGACGCTCGTCATCCGCAATATAGCAAGGATCTGTCAAGAACGGTTGCAGTAGTCTGTTGCTGATTCCTGCTCGCCCATCTGGAGGTGGGTCAGTTGCTCCTCCAGGTGACCGATGTACAGATCGTCTGTTACCAAATACGTCGACTGAATGAAATGCCGCGGCTGGTGTCCAGCATCCAGTCAAAGCCGATACGACTTCAGCGCTATCTGCAACACTGATGAGCAGCACCTCGGGATGACCATGAAGGTCAGCTGGTGAGCAGCATGAAACTCCACACGTAGTTCGACGTCGTCCACGTCCAGTATCGGCACGTCGCCACTGGCGAAACCCTTCAGCCTAACAATCTCCAATTAAGGCTTGATGTGTTGTTCAGGATGCGTCGATTTGAGAACTTACGACGAATTCATTACTCAACTAAACGCAAATCCGCTCATTAGGATTGTGCGCCTTAAGCTTACCTACCATCTCCAAGTTGAATCAGTCCTTAAGATGGTCTTTAGAGTGAAAACCAGGTAAAAACGTCCAATAGTCGCATGGCTAGAATGGTGGAGGAAGTACAAGCATTAGAGCATAGAAAGTTGGAGTTGGGGACTCCAAGAGAACCATGAGAGGGAAGGGGTTCTCCAAGAGCTAGGGAAGGATGGTAGGAACCTTCCTAGCAGCAAGGATGTAACCCTCATCACGAGGTCCTTGAGGTGTCACATGCAAAATCCAATCTAGTTGGATTTTGCCTAAGTGTTGCAACATTTGCAACACATGCTAGAAACTTCTAGCCACCCCAATCCAAAAGTCAAAGTTGCCTTCCTAACCACCCAACCAAAGATCCCTTGATACTCATGTCCAAGTAATCACCCAAATTGGATATAACCCTTAAGGAAATAAGAAATCCAAGTCTTGGAAATCTTGTAACTTGGGCGATCTTGGTCGGAATAAGGCGATCTTGGTATCGTTCGAAAGCTCTGGATTTCTCCTGCATGATCAAGCATTTAAACTTGGAGAAAAACACAGAGATGATGATATCCAACAGCCATGCACAATGACATATGCTCGTCCAAACAATGCACACATGAATAGCACGAGCACTCGGCAGGACGTTAGGATGGCATCCACTCAGAATGATGTGCATCCAACAAACTCCCCCTCAGACTAACGGACTGCATGCACACACACCCACACAAATGCAAACTCTCATGCTCACAATCACACATGTACTCATGACACTGCTGCCCACACTAGTGCAATACCATGCCACACATCTGAGCGCACGTCTAATGTGCGCTCTCGAGAAGTCTCTTGGTGAGAAAATCTGCCATGTCCTTGCTAGCTCAACAATCCCCTCCTTCACCATCTGCCTCACCTAGTGCCACTTAATCTTCATGTGCTTGTTCAGCCCATTCGGGATAGGATTATTGGCCACGCCAGTAGAAACCTCGCTGTCGGAGAAAAGTGGTGTAGGTCCCTGCTGTTCAGCTCCCATGTCCTCCAGCAGCTTCCTCAAGAGCACGATCTCCTTGATGGCATGGTCCATTGCCCTGAACTCTGCCTCTCCGGAAGACTGAGCAATCTCACTCTGCTTCTTGGACCTCCAGCTCGCTGGTCCACCTCCGACCATGCACAAAATGCCACCAACTGATGACTGATCCTCCTCCTCTGAGGCCCATGTAGCGTCGGTGAAACACGACAGCTTCAAGGTTCCAGGTGTGACCCCATCTGCTCCAATCTGTTTCAGCGGGCTGCCAGCTGAAAACTAAACACCAGCAAATGCCGTTCATCTGAGGTAGTGCACCATCTGCTTCACGTGCCATCCCTTCATAGCTGCGCTAGCCAGCAAAGTCCATAGTGTCACTGGCTTACCAATGGGAGTAAAGATCTCCCCAAAGTCGACCTTCTCTTTCTGCTGAAACCCCTTGGCGACCAAGCGGCTCTTGAACTGCTCCAACACACCATCAGCTCCACTCCTCACCTTGAAGACCCACTTGCTGTTGATCGGCCGTCGCCCTTCGGGTAACTCAACAAGCTCCCAAGTCCCATTCTCAATGAGACTGTTGAACTCTGCATCCATGGCAGCCTTCCACTCCTCCTTCTGGGGTCCACTCAGTGCCTCCTCCACTGTGGCTGGTTCTCCAGGCAGAGGTGTGAAGAAACAGAACGCCATCTCCTCATCATCTCCCTCATCCGCCTGAACCGCCATGGCACCTTGCTTGGGTCCTCCCAAACGGCTATACTTCAGCCTTGAAGGTGTTGCTGCCACTCTCTTCTCGCGTGTTGCGGTCTGTTGCCCATGTGGTAAAGCTCCTCTCTGCACACTCCTCTTGGTGACCTTGGCGTTTGCAGCAGGCTCGGGCTGAGATGGTGAGTCCACACGTGCCGACTCATCCTCCAAACCCTCCTCCGCAGCAGGACCAGCACCTTGCTGCTCACCACCACCACTGTGGTCACTGGTCAGCTCTGACCCATGGAGATCCTCAAGGTGTAGCTGAACCTCCTCCACTGTAGATCGCTCAATTTCCTGCAGACGCAAGCCAATCTGCACCTGCTGCTGCTGCTGCCATTCCTTGTACATGACGTCCTCCACAAAGTTGACGTCACGGCTGACCAGTGTCCTCTTGCTCTTGCGGTCCCACATCAGCCACCCCTTCGAGTCAGGAGCCATCCCAAGATGGACAACCCACACTGCAGCAACTTCCAGCTTGTGCCTCTGCTCCTTAGGCACCATCACAAGCCCCATGCAACCCCACACCCGCAACATGTCAATGGATGGCTTCTTCCCAAGCCAGCGCTCATACGGCACTCAGTGCTTGTCACCAACATGCGTCAAGACCGTGTTCTTGACCGTGATGACATGGCGAACAGCTTCAGGCCAGAACTTGTAGGGCATCCAAGCAGCCCCCAACAAGGTCTTAGCTGCCTCACCAATGGTCCGGTTGGCATGCTCAGCAATGCCGTTCTGTTGCGGAGTTCTTGGACAGGTCAGCTGGTGTCGAATGCCGTTCCTCTTGAGAAACTTTGTGGATTCCGCTCCAAGGAACTCTCCGCCACGGTCGCTCCTCAGCACCTTCACCAACCGCATCGCTTGCTGCTCCACCATCGGCAACCAATCCTCCTTGATCGCCGCTGCAGCATCACTCTTCTTGGACAAGGGACGTGCCCATGAGAACCGGCTCCATTTGTCCTCCATGCTGAGGAAGTACAGCACTCCTCCAATCCCCTCCATCCTCATAGGACCCACCAGGTCCATGTGCACCACCTCCAATGGCGCCTTGGAAACGGGAACCGCGCAAACTTGTTTTACATGCACGCCTCGCAGCTGCCATAGTGAGTACCATCTTCTTGCAGTTGCAGCACATGCACGCACTTCTCTTGGTGCATCACCACCAATGTAGATACATCCACGTGTGCGAGCCGCCGATGCCAAGTCTCCCAATCCGCTTGGCCCGAGGTAGCCGACGCCTTCACCGCCGCGCTTCCTCCAATTAGCTCCTCTCCTTGCACACCTTGCTGCTCCTCCTCGGTGACACTCTCCTCCATAGATGCCGCCACTGATGCCTTGCTCGATTTCCACCAAGGGAGGACCGGGATCTGCCACATCCGCTTGTGGACATCCCCTTTTCGCGGTAAGTCCCAAATCAGCTGCTCATTGTTGTAGGCACGAAAGCGCTCCGAGCCAATCGTCTCGGTTTTCACACCCGCATCTCCCAACCGGCCATTAGAAATCAGGTTCGCGCACAAGTCTAGCACCCACAGCACGTTCTTCAGCCCCACGAGCTCTCCATCCGCTCCCAAGAACTTGGCGCACCCCATGCCCATGACCTTGGCCTTGGCGCCCGTCGCGGATGTGACCGTAGAGATAGGTGCGGGCTGAATCTCATCAAGTATGTCCGCACGAGGAGTCATATGCCAGGAGCTTCCCGAGTCAATCACCCAATAGGTGAGGGGATGTAGGAGAACCTTGGCAGCCATAGCAAGGTCGGTTGAACCATCGTTCATGAAGAAGAAGAACCCGGCCTTCCGCTCCTCAGATTTGCTGCCTTTCTCCTTCTCCTTCTCCTCTCCACTAGCTCCCATGATTCCCCCACTCCACGTGCCACCACGCTGGTTGCTTGATGAAGGCGGGGTCCAATCATTGGGTCGTTGGTAGCACTTCCGCCAATGATGTCCGCGCTACTTGCAGTAGAAGCACACCTCCACTTCATCTTGAAGCCGCTCTTTCCACCTTCAACTCCATAACCAGCCCCCTCCTCCAAGCGCTCCACACTCTGCCGCTGCAAGTCCTCCTCCAGGATGCGCGCGCGAATGTAATTTACGCTCCACTGGGGCTGCTGAGAGTTGAGGTTGATCGCTAGGGCAGACCACGTCTTTGGCAGCCGTATCACAATCTCCACGCATTGCATGTGCTCTAGATACACCACACCGCCGCCTTGGAGCTTCGTAAAGATGACGCGCATCTCATTTAACACCGGTTGCATCGGCTCTCCATCAACGAACTTGATGTCGCGCAGCCGCCGCGTGAGTAGCACGATGCCGGTAGCATGTGTCGGTGAGTGCACATCTAGAAGCTTCCTCCAAGCCTTGGGGCCACACTCTGGATCACCCAAAAGGTCCTTGATATGGTCAAGTTGTCGCCCGCCAACCGCTTGCACCATGAGCATGTATGCGTAGAACGATCGCTTCATCCACGCTCCTTTCTGCTCCGCGACCTCCGGCATCTTCTCCTTCCCCTCCACCAGATCCAATAGCTTGTATTGGGTGTACATCAGCCTCATGCAGAAACTCCAGTGCTCGTAGTCCTCCCCCATGAATTTCTCAATCGAGAAAGCTTTCACAGGATCCACGGTAGTAGGAGATGGTGTAGAAGAAGTAAGTAGCATAGGGTTGGCTGGTTGGTGAGTCCCCACTCCACCACCAGCAAATCCCCCCTGCTCTCCAGCCTTTCTAGCTCCAGCCATCTTGCCATTAGCAGCTCTAGAGTCCAATCCAGTCACATTGAGGCCTTATGAACGGTGGAAACTTGAGAAATCGTTTGGAGAGAATTCTGCCAAGAATTTCTATTCTACAAAAATCGTTGTTGCGGATAAGATACTTTGAATTGTCGTTTGCACCACTAATAAAATGTCCGCGAGCAGAGCTACTAGAAAATGGTCTCATTGTCAAAATTGGTTGAGAATTCACAGCGATTCGTTATCTCAAAGTTGACTACCCATTCTCATACCACTTGTTGTTCAGGATCCGTCAATTTGAGAACTTACGACGAATTCATCACTCAACTAAACGCAAATCTGGTCGATAGGATTGTGCGCCTTAGGCTTACCTACCATCTCCAAGTTGGATCAGTCGTTAAGATGGTCTTTAGAGTGAAAACCAAGTAAAAACGTCGGTAGCCGCATGACTAGAATGGTGGAAGATGTACAAGCATTAGAGCATAGAAAGTTGGAGTTGGGAACTCCAAGAGAACCATGAAAGGGAAGGGGTTCTCCAAGAGCTAGGGAAGAATGGTAGGAACCTTCCTAGCAGCAATGATGCAACCCTCATCATGAGGTCCTAGCGGTGTCACATGCAAAATCCAATCTAGTTGGATTTTGCCTAGGCGTTGCAACATTTGAAACACATGCTAGAAACTTCTAGCCACACAAATCCAAAAGTCAAAGTTGCCTTCCTAACCACCCAACCAAAGATCCTTTTAAAGTCATGTCCGAGTAATCACCCAAATTAGATATAACCCCAAAAGGTAATAAGAACTACAAGTCTTGGAAATCTTGTAACTTGGGCGATCTTGGTCGGAATAAGGCGATCTTGGTATCATTGGAAAGCTCTGGATTTCCCCTACATGATCAAGCATTTAAACTTGGACAAAAACACAGAGATGATAATATCCAACATCCATGCACAATGACATATGCTCATGCAAACAATGCGCGCATGAATAGCACGAGCACCCGGCAGGACGTTAGGATGACATGCATTCAGAAAGACGTGCATCCAACACGATGGACTCCCTCCCGTGATGAGGTCCAGTCAACCTTGTAGCGGCACCGGCACGGCGATCTTGTCTGGCAAAATTTTGAAGTAGCCATACATCGGCGCGATCCCGCCCGCCGTCACGTGCGTCGTCGACGAGGGTCTCCCACTGCTTCGCTAGGATAAGCAACGTTGCTCATCGACGTCGACACGCGAGCTTCCTGCAGCCGCCGTCGACCGCTACACTCGCGCTGGCTCCCGTCGACGCCACCTTCGACCCTAATCATACCTCTTTTTTTCATGCCTTCTCTGCCGCGGACTCGTTCACCGCTGTTGACGCCCCCTTCGATGCGTGCCGATCAAGGAGATGTAGGTCGGAAAGGGTGCTCCATCGCTCACTGCGCACGGATGCCCAGCTGAACCACCTCCAAAGGGAGAGTCGGCACGAGCACACCAGCCTTGTGTTCTCTAGCACTTGCACATTTGCGGGAAGATTTGGCAAGGGTTTCACTAGCAAAGTTGGGACTACATAATGAATAAACAAGCAATGGCGAGAATGACTACACCAAGAACCTAGCAACCCTGCAGACAAGCTGGTCGACCGCCAACACAGCAAGGCTGACATATGCCAACGTTGCATAGAGGCACCACGCCAGCGTTGCGGAAAGTCGACCTGCCAACAGAGAAAATCGGCGGCTCGTCAACGCTGCACCAAAGCAGTCTGCCTCGGCTACAGCAGAGCCGTCTACCAGTGTTGCACCTGCATGTAATAGTAGCGCATGAGCGCACCTACTTCGCAGGCGCGCATCGACGGTCAAGCACGTTTTCTATTGTTGCGCAGGTGCCAGGTCGGCCACGTGCCGACAGTTGCGCCTGAAGTTCCACATCGACCTCGGCATACCCGCTCGAGGCCGCCCTCACCATCCCAGCCTTGACGACGTTCGCGTGCCTCCGCAGGACCTTGTCGAGGTTACCTGGTCGACCCGATCGACCAGTCAATGCCCTGGTCAACGAGCTCCATCATCGACCACTGTTTTTGTCAAAGACCATCTTGGTCGACGGACCCCTTCCTTGAGCAGGTTGGTCAGCTGCTGCCATCAAGCTCCCACCCCCGACGGCTCCTCGACAATCCCACCTCGTCCTGCCCCGTTGAAATCGGCCGCCGGTTCCTGGTGATGGCGGGGTTGCAGTGGTTCTCAGTGGGTCGACAAATTCCGTCGACCTGCACACATCGACCTCTGCGGATGGTCGGCCGTACCTCGCACATACCCAACCACTACGTCGACTTGCCTCAAGCAAGGGCGAAGTCAACACCCTATTTCCTACAACACTAATTATGCCGCCCCGAGTTGTTTCTCGCTTTCAAGGGGTTGTGTCAGCATACACGTATTTGGTTTTGTATATGTACTTTATTGTCTAACTAGAGTCGCACCACGAAGAGTTTGAGATTGCATATACCCTCTTACAAGTTCCCTTTCTAGCCATTCATTCTCTCGTTAATAGCCCCAACTATGGTAGCAGCATAAGAACAAAATCCTACTCAACATAATCCTTTTCATGGTTTCAGTCAAATGCCACATGATCCTGGAATGTATTGCCTACACTTTTGTGGGGAACTCATCCAGCTCACTGTATATATCGACGACCTGCTGTACACTAGAACACACAACACTTTGCTCGATCAATTCGAAGAGAACATGGGAATCCGTGTTGATGTCACCAACAACCATAATGTGACGCAGTTCCTAGGTTCTCAGCATTTCCTACGACCTTAAGCCATTCATCTCTCAGCTTCAAAGTGCGACAAAACACTCATAAAAAGCCTTCGGATTCCACCTGCACCACTCAGAATTTCTTAGAACGCACCTGGATCGAACCCCAAACCTAACAACAAACTCTTCTTTCTGTCAAACTTATCTGCTATAGTCTGTGTAGACTGTAGTGGGGTAGACAACATGGGGTACAACATTTCTAGGTTTTCCTACTTGTACCCACCTCTTTCCTAGTTCATTCATTCCTCAATTCTCACATGGTATCAGAGCAGGTTCCCTAGTGGGAACTTCCTAGGGCCCACCACTAAAAATCGACTTTTTTTTTCTGACCAGAGCGCGAGTCGCTCCTGCCCGAGGCGCGCCCCGTGGGCCGCCCTCTTGCCGCCCTCTAGAGGCCCCTCTCACGGCCCCTCGAGCCACCCTTAGCGGCCCTGTCGCCACCCCTAGCGGCCCCGTCGCCGCCCTTCTAGGCCCCCTCAAGGCCCCTTCGCGGCCCCGTTGCCGCCCCTAGCGGCCCCGTTGCTGCCCTTCCAGGCCCCTCGCGGCCCCGTCGCCGCCCCTAGCGGCCCCGTCGCCGCCCTTCCAAGCCCCTCGCGGCCCCTTCGCGGCCCCGTCGCCGCCCCTAGCGGCCCCGTCGCCGCCCTTCCAGGCCCCTCGCGGCACCTTCGCGGCCCCGTCGCCGCCCCTTGCGGCCCCGTCGCCGCCCTTCGCGGCCCCGTCGCCGCCCCTAGCGGCCCCTGTTGCCGCCCTTCCCGGCCCCGTCGCCACCCTCTAGCGGCCTCGTCGCCACCCTTAGCGGCCCCGTCGCTGCCCCTTGCGGCCCCGTTGCCGCCCCCCTTTCGGCCCCTCTCTAGCCCCTTCACTGCCGAGCCGCCAAACCGCCAAGCAGCCGAACAGCCGAGCAGCCGAGCCGCCGAGCCGCCGAGCAGCCTACAACCGAGCCGCCGAGCCTCCAAGCCGCCGAGGCCCGTCGAGCCGCCACTGCCACTGCCGAGCCGCTGCCACCGCTGTTGCAGCCCTGTTCCTCCCGTCGCGCCCCGGCCCTACCCACCCGGACTGGTGAGAGCCCTCCCTGCTAGACCACTGCTGTCACGGCTACCCCCAGTGTCCTTACCTTTGATGATGAGGTTCGTGCTGTTGACTTCGAGGTTTGGGTCGATGACCTGCAGCTTTTCCTACAGTGAGATAGGGCAGACGGACTCTCCCTGTTCGATCTCACCTCTGGTGCCTCTCCTGCCCCGCCTGCTGATTCTGACAGCACTGTTCGCTCACAGTGGGCCACGCGTGATGCTGGTGCCCGTCTTGCTGTGCGTCGCCACTTACCGACCGCTGAGCGTGCGCACTTTAGTCAGTACAAGAGTGCTAAGACCTTGTACGACGCTGTAGTTGCACGCTACTCTTCCCCTACCACAGCTGCTCTTAGCCGCCTCATACTACCGTACCTATTTCCTGACATCGCCGCCATTCCCACTGTCGCTGACCTCGTTACGCACCTTTGCACTAGTGACACCCGCTACCGCGCTGCAGGTCTTGCTGAGTTCTGCGCTAAGAACCACCCCCCATGTACATCACCCTCTACTACATAGTCACCCGGCTCCCTGACTCCCTTCGCTCGGTCATAAACCACTTCGTCTCAGTTTGCCCCACCACACTCACCGTTGACCTCCTAGAGGAGCGCCTCCTGGCAGCTAAGAAGAGTATAGTCGTTGTAGGAGCCTCTAGAGGTGACACGCATGCCCCTGTCTTTGAGGGGTGCTCCCCCTCCCCCCTTTTGCCCTCTGTTGCCTATGCTGCTGCCATCGACTTCGTTGGCACCGAGTCGGTCGGCGCAGCGTCTGCCCTTAGCGGGTTACGCCGCACCGGCAAGGGCAAGAGGGGCAAGGGCGCTGGAGGGGCTGGCGAGGGCGGTGGAGATGGAGGTGGAGGAGGCGGAGGGAGTTGGGGTGGTGGTGGGAGTGGTGGCGGGGGTGGGGGCTTCGGTGGCGAGGGTGGAGGCGGAGGCGGCGGCGGCCGTGGTGGTGGGAGCA